CCCCAAAACCCCAAAACCCCAAAACCCCAAAACCCCTGCTTAATAAAGTTTTATTGAAACCATGGGAGCACGAGCACGTTAGTACACTTCTTTGTCTTGTGTGGACAAGAACTTCTCCATTTTCTCTTTCTCAAGTTCTTCAGATGACTTCTTGACGTCTTCTTCGTTGATAGGCTCAATAGGACCTCTCTTCAGATTCTTCGACAAGATGAATGAGTTGACTCCTCCCTTTTGGTCTCCCACTAAAATGATGGGGTCCTCTTGGTTAAACGAAACATGGTTTGCGACTGCGTCCTTCATGGCTGTGTGTTCACACATAAACTTGTGTTTCTCTTGGTCCAGATCATACACATACAGTTGTCCAGTGTAAATAACAGCAGCAAACACAGTTGATGAGTAAGGAGCCCACTCAACATCTCCGACTGCTCATCCTAAGTCATAACTCAAAATTGGTCTTGTGATCTCTTTATCCCACATTTTGATTTTCCAGTCAGCAGAGCATGACAAGAACACTCTTGGATGGTACTTGTTCCACTTGACCGCATATACAGCCAAAAAGTGGCCTTCATAAGTTTCAAGATACTGTCCTGAATAGGCTTTGGAGCACAAATGGATTTTGCCTTCTTCAGTTCCAACGAGGAACTGGTCGTCATTGAACGGGTTGAAGTCGAAGCACATTCCTCCTGCAAGTCCGTACATAAATGACTCCTTCTTATTGTCGACAAGTTCTTTCTCTTGATCCAAAACTAGCTTGAGTTTTAAGACTTCTTCTGGCTCAAGCTTATTCTTCATCAAGGTCCACCTGCTGACTCTACCGTCTGAAGAAATGGAGTAGAACAACATTTCGTTTTCGTCCCACGAGACTTGCCAGACTGGGTCTGTGTGCTTCATAGTTCTGACTGTTGACTGGTAAATGGCTTTGTTGCTCTTGGCTCTGATGTCGAACACCATTACAGTACCATCATACAAACCAACAGCAAGGAGTGCAGGATTTTTTTTGTGGAAGTCCAAACACATGACACCGCTCTCAGTCGTGAATGAGTACTCTGGCCAAGTTGGGTTCTTGATTGTGTAGCAACAAATGAGTCCGCTAGTTTCTTTCAAGAAGTCATACGACCCATACCCAACAGCAAACAAGTCTTTGTATTTAGGGTTCCAGCAAATGCTTGTGACTTGCTTTCTTCTGCTTTTGTCGGTAGAAAATCTCCAGAGCGGGAGCACAGTTCCGGTGTTTGGAGAGTCAGTGCCTTCGGTCTCGTCATGGTAGTACTTGTAGTCACTGAACTTGTCAAAGTCAGCACCTTGAACTATCATCCGCTCCATGATTTTAAGAGCTCTCTTCATCGAAGCACTGTAAAGAGGATCTTCTCTAACCTGTTGGACTTGCTGTTGGTTCTTCTTGCCTTTCTTTTTGTTCTTTTGTTGTTCTTCCCACTCGATTCTTTGCTGTTCTTCGTAATCAGCCATGTACTTGTCAAAGATTTCCCACTGAGTGGTTTCACGGAAGAATCTGGAGCACTGAGGAGGGTCAGTCTTGATTCCTTTTTCTCTTAATTGCAAATTGAATGTTTGACAAGATCTTTCTTGGAAGTTGAAAGTGTTTCTGAGACTCTTCTTCTGAGCAGTTGGGTCATCATCAAGTCTATAGTTCGAAAACTCTTCATCTTTGATTCCATCATTGACGAAATCAAGAAGTTCTCTGTTTCTCTGCTTCTTGATATCCCTGAAGTCTTCCTGATCCCTGTATTCATCTGAGTCAATGAGGATAATATCATTATCGAGAGAGAAATGAACAACCATCTGGTCAACAAGTTCATCTTTCTTGAAGATTTTCTCTTTGTGAGAGTACTGAGTCTCATTGTGAGGTGCACATGGATTGTTGGTGTTCAAAGCTTTAGTGATGAGTTCTTTTCTTTCTTCAGTGTTCAATGAAATATGGTCCATGTCTTTCTGAGTAGCAAGATCCGGGTTCATCATGTCATCACCTCCGAGCTTATCATCGGAGACTTCATCTGGGATCTCTTCAAAATGCCTATTTGCCTTTCCTTTCCCTTTTTTCTTTTTACCTCCAATCTTTCTGGGTCGACTCATTTTATTTAAAAATTATTATAGTTCATTTAAATTTATTTAAAAGGGGTTTTGGGGTTTTGGGGTTTTGGGGTTTTGGGGTTTTGGGGTTTTGGGG